GCACACAGTGGTGCTTAGAGAAATTGAACAGCGATGGAAGTTGCTGAGCTCCGACACCAATGTATGCACCTTCAAGTGATATTATGCATAAAACCAAAAAAACTAATTGTAGAAGTTGTAGAATTCATGTTCTGATGCTAAAGGAAAATATAAAGCTCTGTTTATCCATATGATTAATTTCATATAAAAAAATTAAAGTCTTGACAGGATCAGCAGTGTTATTATGAGAAGCATGGTAAATATGATCCACTGACCTTTGTAGATGCACACAACTGCAAACCAGCTGTGGTTGTATATTGGCTATTAGCCATAGTCTCTTACTGTGGAGCCCCATTACTCCTCTTTAAATCCACACAAATGTATTTAGCAAGGTTTAACAATAATACTGCAGTACATGGCAAGCTCATTATCACCTAGGTAATTACCTGCCATTCTGTCTGTGTGTTTACTTTAGTTTGGCGGAGCAGGTGTTAAGATGTTTCGGCTGTTATTGTACCGGGTGATGATGTCTTTGGTGGAGACAATGAGATCTCTGGAGACAGGCTCTTCAACACAGTATGTGCACACACACACTGGCACGAGCCTGGCAAACAGCGGGGAGGAGGAGTGTTCAGTAAACTCATGGCTCACTTGTTTGATGTAGGAGCACAGAGCACGGCCCTTTGGCAGGAAGAGACGACTTCAGTTTTACTTTTATGTCCATTACGAGGAGGCTAAGGGAGTGAACTTTTTAGGGTGCCTAGGTAGATGGGAAAAAACACAAGGGCCTGTTGAGTTATCTGCTTCATAAAGTAGTATATGATGTAGGTAGTGTTATAGTTGAGATCAACAGAGGTGAGATCAAATAAAGACCAAAGCGTGGACGAACAGAGGCCATAGGAGCTGAGTCTGAGTCCAGGAACAGACAAAACCTGGGGGAGACAATTAAGACCAACTGTAATTCATCTGTAGTTAATTTTACATTCACTATACATAAAGGATACCAATAAATAATATTAGTAAGCCAGGTTCAACTCTGCATTCTGACTTGCATCTTTTTGCATGTTCTTCATCTAAACTATTTAAAATAAAACATGTTTATTCATTGCATACCGAAAGAGGAAAGCAGTAACCTGTTTTTTTCCCTTTTTGGAAAATCTGAGTGCAGATTTTATTTTAAATATATAGAGCAACAGCTCTTGTATTCTGTTTGAAATTGTCGTTGACTTTCATAAAATAAAAAAAGGTGATAATGGCAGTTGTAAAAATACAAATAAATACATTTGAATGTAATTACACTGAATTAAAAACAGTTCAGTTACCAGTGACTGCTCTTAATGAGGCCTCATATTTGGCTGGCCTTTACGAATTTACACGTCCTCTTTTTGTCGATTTAAGTGACATGACGTGTGACAAGCCAAAACTGCTCCATGGTGCTTGCTATTTCATACTAGATGTGACTCGCATGTCACTAGAACATTTGTTTATTCCAATAATGGATACGTTAATATAACCTGCAGATGTCTTTAATTTATTTACAAATTAAATAAACTTTATGTAGACAACATTTGAGCATAGCTATTAGCTACTGATTGTTTGAAAAAGGTTTAGAGGCTGATTTCCCTCATCAGTATAACAGATTCTACAACTTCCTCAAAATTTGTTCAACTGCGAGGCTTAAAACATAGCTGTCTGATGTTTACATTCTGGACCCTGACTGCATAATAAGGACAGACTGCTGAATTTTGTATCATTTCTAGCTAGAAACCTCACATGGCAAGTCAAAAACAGACATAAAGCCAAGTGACACACATGGCTGGTGTAAAAGTCTAGTTGTTTAACATAAGAGCATATTGCATAGAGCACTGCATAGAACATCAAACAGCACATTCACTCTGCCTGTGCAAAATGAGTTTAACCATATATAGACAACATAAGCAGTTCAATATTCCATCTGCTCACTGGTGAATAAAGAAAAGCTATTCCAGTATCATGCATCTGTATGTAATATAATTCTGTGTGTTTAATATACAGCCTTCATTTCACCTGGAGAGGTGTTTAGTACAAACTATATATCTGATAAACCTGCTGATTCTTCTACTGACCTAAGAGGACGGCAATAAGCTCTGTTAAACTTTTCCACTTCTTCTCCAGGTGCCTGCACCAGTTTAACAACTGAGCCGTCCCCATCAATTAGCCTTGACTTTGGACTTTCATTGAGAGTAGGTGACTAATATCTACGCCAACTCGGAAGAAAGACACTTTTTCACGATCGCCCAACAATCTGCTAAGTGAAAACACGTGTCAGAGGCACAGGCCCGGCCCGTGAGGGGGCCCGCATCCAATGGGAAGCAGGTGCTCCACTTTTTTGCCATGTAATACCCCATTTAGCCCCAGGGCCAAAGGTTATCCAGCTAATAGCTGCCCGGTGCAGAGCGAGGAAGAGCCAAGCGCTAGGCCAGACTAAAACATCTGGGACATATTGCACATACTTGCAACATATGCTTCAGGTTCAATTAAAATGAGGCCTTGGCACATTTATTCGTCCTTTTTTTTAACTTCGAAACCTTCATCCAGTAAAAAAAAAGGCCTCCCCTGACCTGACCTTAATATTTTACTATTTGAGCAAACAGAAGAAGTAATGAGAGTGTGGGGTCGCTGACTCTAAGGGAAAGAGAAAGAGAAAGAGAGCTAGAGAAAAAGAAAGAGAGAGGGAGATGTGAAACGCCACCTATATTTTGTTCACTTACTTCATTTACAGTGAACCTATCCAGGTTTGAAGTAAAAGACAATGTCAGAAGAGTTATAAGCAGGGGCACATAAGACAAGAGAGAGGAAGAGGAAAAGAAAAACTGAAAAAGAAAAAAGAAGAAAAATATCCTTTTTCAACTACTCTGCAGCTGAAATAAAACGCTGGCAGTCAAGAAGGCCAACATTAGATCAAATGTGTACAGAGTGAGGGTCAATATGCTGTAGTACTGTGTGATGTGGAGGGTGTTTAGCATAATGTTGCTAATAATCTTAATCAAAGTTTCTGGGCTGAAGGACAAAATAGAACAAGTTCAGGTACAACTAGCTGAAAATGAAAGCTAAGGATATACTGAGGAGACGAAGGGTTTAGGGTAAAATAGCCTTTTTGATGTAGCGTCCCATGACTAATGTATGTTTTTTCTATGGACTTGCCAAAGCAAATGAACACTGACCAGGACACCGTATTAGGGTAATTGTAATTGTAAAGAAAACATGATATGAGCCGTCCAGATAAAACACATGAAAACGTGGGAACAATCACCGTGTACTGGCCTGAGTTTAGGACTAATTTACTTGGACTCCACACTAGGTTCACCCAATAATACACAGTATAACTCTTCAGCTAATAATCAGAACTGTGTCTATTTATCTACATACATGGACTAAACCAATTTTTTTTTAATTTTAACATTTTAAAAGAAATGAGTGTTCTGAAACTGGGAAAGCCTGTTTGCACACAAACCATACACTGTCATTTTTCAATTGTTATGTTAATAAAAATTTGATTTCAGTATAGTTTTATGAAATTAATACATGTATTAATACATGTATGCACCTTGTCTTTTGTGGCCTGAAAATAGTGTGTTATTTGTTGTGCAATGTAGTATTTTGTAGTGCAACAATTTCTGCCTGGTAGCCACTGACCTATTAAGGTAGTGGAAAATAAAAAACACCCTGCCCCCTCCCAGCCTCACCCATTTATTTACCCTAAAACACTTGTAGTCTTTCAAAATTTGCTTCTACCTTCAAGACACATCATCAGAAAGCAGTTTCCTTAGTCTTTAAATGAGGAAATGTCACTTTACTACTGCTGCACCACTGTAAAATATGAAAGATAAAGTGACAGTTAAACTTTTTATTTTGACCAGTGTAACAAGTACAGGTAACTGCTTTATAAAATAAAATTTAAAAAAAATCTAAATAAATTTCATAATTGTAACATCAGGCCTAAATGGCTTTTCACCCACTTTGCATACTTGTGACTCTGTCACAGTGCAAAAAACCCAGACCTGACCACCATTCACAACTGATTTCCTGCATAGATTCATATGATGTGAAGAACTGGGGCTAAGAGATAATCAGAGCATCAACACTGCATTCTGGTGCCTCTCTACTAGTCAAATATATGATTGAAACTGAAACAGATTAACCATGATATTGTTTCCATGACCATTAAAATACATTTCAATGTGTAATTACATTTCCATAGTTTGTTTCACAACAACTCACAATTTAAAAAGAAAAAGCACGCTTTGCAGATCAACCCAGCCATGTCCTCATTTCATCACCCTTCCATAGTCCGACCGCCAGTTATGTTGACCCATTTACAGACAAAGGACCCAACAATACTGGTATTTTGGAGAAGAATAATGTAGTTTGCTCTTGGTCTCCCATTTAAATTCTCAGTCATAAGCATCAGCTCCGTCTGCCCATGCATTTGGCCTGCAGACATTTGAATGCTATTAATTGCACTTCAAAGGCCCTGAGAAATATCAGAAGCTCAACACTGGGGCCCTCAAGCCAAGTTTATTTATGTGTGCGCCATTCACCTTTATTCTGGGCTTGAAGAAAAAACATCAGAATGGCTCTGTGGACCAGAGGCTGGGCTTTTGAGGCTAGCTCTGGCAGACTGCGGCTTTTACTTTGAGCCGAAGACCACAGCTGTGGACCTCAGCTATACGTGACGTACTCAAAATGTCAAAGCTGAGCGAGGGAGAGCTTTCATGAACTGAATGTTAACCTCCTAAGGAGATTTGAGAGAAACTTGTACTTAAAAATGAAAGCAAAGTTAAAGTATCTTTTTCAGGAATCACTTGAAACGAAAACATTTGAAAATGAATCACAGTCAAAGACATTATGAGGGCCAGCTGACCCAAAGGGCCATTCAGTAATGTTTTGTTTACCAAGGCAAGTCAAAGAATTGTATTCATCTAACTGTGAAGCTGTTTCAGACTCTAAACTATAAGTCTTCAAGCATCGGTGATAATTACCTTGTCATCCCTGTCATAGTCTTCATCCTCGTCCTCCAGCAAGTCCTCCACTGCTTGCTGATGAGCGTAAAAGAGAACAAAAGAAAGAAGTATGGGATAAAGAAACAATTGAGAATAAATTTCATGTGAACAATGAGTAACATTTCCAAATTTGTACAAAAAAACCCAACTGGTTAGAATTATTTTGTGCAAAATACGCTATCGACCCCAACTTCTAAATTTGTCAATTGCATCACCTTATAAGGTTCATAATCGTCTATAAGGTTAAAACCTTTGTGCAACCAATCAAAGGGAGCTTGGACACTGAACGCTAACTACATGGTTCAAAACCAAGTCAAGACAACAATGGAGTCCTCCAACCCTCTTATGATTTCCTTATTATGTGTCCATGACCCAAACCAAATTTATGGCCTCACATTTCTCTTTAAAGGACACAAAACACATGAAGACAGGGATAGCTTGGTTGAATAGAGGGAGCTGGAGACAGACAGCAAAAACCCAGCATCACTGCTTGAAAAGAATGCCTACCGAAGTGTTGTTGTGTTTGGTTTTAATGTAAAACTGCTCATGGTGAACAAAAGTTAGTTATGGAGGTAATTGTTGGGCTCTTAGCACTGCAGATGCTAAACATTTAGAAGATAGTAGTGTACAAAAGCTCATCCCTCTCTGTGTAATCCTTTGTAAGTGACTAGGCTTGAATAGTCTTGAAAATGTTTTATTCATAAATGTTATGTGCTCAGCTATTTGGTTAATCTAAGTGTCAGCTGAGCAGTTACATCCAGATGCCACTGAAAGATGCTTTTGTCATTTCAATTAACTGTAACAGATGTTTCAGAGCTTTGTAAAATACTTTAAATCAGCGTTTCTTAAGCTAAGGGTTGTGACCTAATTTGGGTCGCAGATGTATTTGTTCTGGGTCGCGGATGTATTTGTTCTGGGTTGCCACATCCTGTGCAGCGTGTGTCAATATGTTTGCCCAAGTGCTAAACATGTGGTGGGCAATCAAAAACACATCCATGAAATTTGCTGTTGTTAATGTCATCTTTTGTGGCATTAACCCCTTTTCACAGTAGTCATAAAATACAATTTTCACTTGTTTAGAGCCCCTTCAGGTTTTGCATTTTATCTTCAATAATGTTGATGCAATATATTTGATGGAATAATGGAAATGCAAACAGATGGAAATGCATTTTAAAAAAAAAACAATGGCATGTTTTTAAATTGTGGCACGTGTATGTGATTTTTTAATAAAGGAATCTGTAGTTTTGCTGTCTGGTGTTTTCTCAGCACAGCCATCTTAGTGGAGCAGTGTTGTCACAGCAGGGGATCTCAACACTGCTCGCTAGCAGCTCAACAGACAGAACATTTCACACATACAGAGCCAACAGTGTCCTAGATAATCTGATAACAGAGTTACTGGGAAAATACATTATGTGAATATATTAATTAAAAATATCTGAGTCCATTTCCAGTGGAATGGCCAATAGGGGGCCTGCAGAAAGAAATTAATCAAGTCTGAAACTCACAGACTACGCGGCTACACAACCTTTTAAATGGAGATTGTTTGGATTTGTGTATGTTAATAAGCAGGCTGCCCAATCATAGCCACATTGTCATGACTACTCCTTTGGTTTATTTGCTTGTTTCACTGCTTGAAGCAACTTCTTTTTAGTCTTTGTTCTTCTTTATTCTACCAACAACTAAAAACTTAAAATGATGTTTGTAGGTTTTGTTATTTGTGTAAGAAATCATCCACACAACATAGTTCTCCAGTGTTCAGACCAGAGTGTCTCGCTCTCTTTTTCTCTCTCTCACTCACTCTCTCTCTCCTACTAATGTGGAACTATGTTTAGCTATTTCCTGAACTCAGTGTAGTAATAATTTTCTGCTTGGGTCCTAGTTTGGTATCAGTTCTCTCATTTGGGTCATTTTATATAGTTCTCCAAGTAAAGTACTTTATTGTAGGTATTAACCTACATACATCTAAAAATTTCTGCCAAAGATGAATGTGGCATGCAGTTAAATCTTTGGACTTATCCATGTTTTTAGGGATATTTATGCATGTTTGGTAAAAGACTATTATAATTTCTTAAGCACAACAAGGAGGCAAAACGTTGAACAAGCATAAATGACTTCCAGTCCCCAGGGAAAAAAAACATTTGATAACAACTTCCTGGACTGAGACATCCACAGCATCAGTACCTCCACCCATTTGTGCATTTAATCACAATAAAATCCAGTCTAATAAACATCTTTTAAAGTGTGATGTAATGTATGTGTTACAGTGAAAAAGCCTACGACATGACGCACTGCAAGGTCACTGAAAGAAGTGCTCTTTTATTCTAAAATACTGTCACAGCCATAAATCATTGTCACAAAAACAGAAAGAAATCACTCATTGTCTGTGTCTGTAATTTGGGCGCATTAATTATTCACATCTCATCGTCTCATTTACCAAGCTGAAGGAGCCAATACTGAGGTGCAGCCACAAAAGTCAGACAATGTGTTGGCAGACATATAAAGAGTTTATCTCGGTCAATTGAAAACACTCCATCAAGCTTGCGCGGCCCCTGGGAGCCCGAAAGGAGTCCATATCACATGTCTGTTTTCGTTGCCGGAGGAGGGAACACGCATAGATCGTTATTTCTCCTCTTGTGGCTCCTCTTGTCAATCACACATCAAAAGCTTCAAGGTCATGTGCACGCTATTTACATAAGGCAATTCCTGTGTCTAAAAAAACCCCAAAAGCTATCAGGGGGTGCGTTCTGTCTCCTTTTTGATGATGTTTTGGCTCTCCACAACCCATAAATAAGTTTTCTGTGACATCCAAAAAACTGTTACTTAGGCAAACAATAGCTTTTGTTCCTTTGTCTTGTTTAAAAGGCAGAGTGTATGGCTGCCATAAGCCTCTTATGTAAATGCTGCTAGCGGCGGAAACAAAAGGAGGGTTCAGGACAGTTGCAGGGATTGCTGCGAGTGAACTGATGATGATGTTTTGTGGTATTGGTGTGCCAATCTACCAGCAGAGTAATACAGTTTCAATGGCAGGGTTAATCAAAGGCTAGTGTTCAGCATTGCGGGAGGAAGACAGATTCAATCAAGATTCACATATAGAGCGTTAAGGAATCAACCGAGGACAGAAAGAACATTTTTGAGAGAAAAAGAAAAAAATATCTTTTGGGCAGAATTCAGATATTGGCAAGTGCAGGTCAGGAATCGGTCAGAGTGTTTCTTTCACTGACAGACCGGAGCCTGAGGAGAACGTGAGGGGGGAAGGCGTCCTTTGGCCTTTCAGCTAGCATTGGCACCATCTCCAGCCCAGCTCTGTGACATCCATCCTGGCGAGTTAATGCACTTTTTCTCCCCTCTGCTATCAGTAAAGGAAGAACCGCGCTATCTGTGCTTTTAATTCTAACCTTCGCCGTGACAGGTGCGCTGGGAATAGACGGCCAAGCCAGACAACCCATCCGACATGAAGATATGTACTTTCATTTTTTTTCTTTTTTTGCCCCCTCCATCCCTTCCCTCGTCTTGCTCCTCTTTGAAATGGGAGACATCTCTAGCGTCTCCAGCTGCTCGGGGCCTGGCCCTGCTTTGTATGCCGCATGTGGACGAGGGGGCCCGGGAGAGCCCAGGCCTGGAAGGCTGATAAGGGCTCTCGCCGGAGCACCTCCAGCCCAAACAGCCTCTTCACAGGCTGTCAGAGCACTGCTGGTCAGAGGGAGGGCTTGTGTCTGTGCCAGCTTTGGCTGACTGTGGGCTGACCCCTGCAGAGGCTGGAGTCAAAGAGTAGAGCTACTAGCAAAAGAGGGGCATCAAGAGAAGTACATGCACTTATCTGTCAACTTAGCGGAAAAGTACCTGCTATTGCAGTTACTGCTTTAGTTTTATTTGATTTACTGTTTCTATACCAATCCAAACCTTTTGGAAACTGTAATTTGTTGAAAATGAGCTAAATATGAGGGGGTCGAACGCAGTGACATTTTGTGCTTTTGTACAGTGCAGACACCACCACTATGTCTCTTCGGAGCTGAGCTATACAGGGCACACAGATTGCTGAGAATGCTGCCGGGTTTGATGCTCCAGTTTGGGAATGTGCCAGGGTCATGCGCTCCCAAAAGCCAGAAGCATCGGCGTATCTATCAGTCCCACGACTTACTCTCTACTCTAATCTGCAGCAGCCTAGACCCACAGGATACCCCTAAAAAAACACACACATACACACACAGTGTTCTGTAAACAAAAACCCCACCAGCGAGAGACACGGCTGCCTCGACAACAGCAGCAGTGGCTGTGACAAAAACGCGCCGAGCCGCCTCGTCGTTAGCGAAATAGCGGGTACAAAAGTTCACAGCGATGAAGTGTGGGGAGCTGCCAAAGTCAGTTCCCGCCTTGCTTCAAACCCTCACCTGTGAGCGGCTCAGAGCCACAGCAGCACAGGGGAAATCAGCGGGGCAACAAACGTTGCCAGTTCAAAGTGACGTGACCTTTTTTGATTTTGTCACCTGTCAGGGGCTGGCAGCGGAGGAGCCGAGAGGCATCTGCCAGGCACGAGATTCGCTGGAAGAGGTGGTGGCACTGAGGCGGATTAAAGGCCGAAGAACTCGCTCCGGCTCCTCTTCCTCCTCTTCTTCTTCCTCTCCCGGCCCCTGCCGTCATGCTCTCCCTTTTTCGTGCAGCCTCCCAGTCGGCTCACCCAGGCTGAGAGGAGTGAGAAGGAACGAAGAGCTTTACCACGAAACACCTCTAGCAGAGCGACTGCCAGTCAGTTTCTCATCGTTTTTCTTTATTTCGTTGTGCGGTGATTGACGCTGGAGGTGGGCTTGACAGGCTCCTCGTTCCCCCCAGAGCAGCCCACCTGTACCAGAAGGCGGTGAGGAAAAACACAGCCTATCCTTTATTCATGAAGCTCCATCCAAGCTGTTTGTTTTTCAAATTACGCGCAGAAGCAGAAACAGACAAAACACAGCTCAAACCAGACAAAATGAGAGCGAAAGCTTGAGAGAGAAAAAAAATTTAGTATCTGTTTATCTATAACAATGTGCAAAACTACTGCA